CTGCCCGCTCAGGGATGTAGCTGGCCGCAGAGCTCAGCCTCTTCACTTGGACGCTGGGCTTCTCCTGCAGACTCCTCTGCCGGTGTCCGGGGCTGTCGCGTCTCCCCTAAATGCCGGCCGCGCCTGGCCGGCCGCTTGCACCTCCTCAGCTCGTCTTTCACGGCGCCGGCGCCCCGACCCTCTCCCGGGCCGGGCCCGGACAGCCAGCTGGCTCGCTCCGACGGGCCGCCCAGGCCCTGCGGTCTCCAGAGAAGTCGGACCCCCACTCTTGGGGCCGAGGAGGGGGATCGGGAAGTCACCCGTGGCGGGGGCCGCCTGGAGAGCGCAGGACCCCCAGGTCCGTGGGGCGCCCGACGTGCTGACAGCGAGGACTCTGGGGAGCTGAGCGCGCTGTTCTACCGGCTGTTCAGGTCTCAGGAGCTCGCTTTTGGCTTGTTTGCTCGCGGGTGGGGCCCCCGCCCCCCCGGGCCCAGAGCTTCGCCGTTTGCTTCGTCAGCCCCGTTTGAGTCACTCAGCAGACGTCTCCGGTCTTCAGTCCCGGGCGAAAGCCCGGCTCCTGTTGGGTGGCCGGCGGGGAGCGGCCACTCCCGCAGGCCCTTGGTGGTCCTCCAAGGCAAGACAGCGGGGCCTGGGCCCGCCCCCCCAGCCTGTGCTGACCCGCAGGCGCTGTTCTACAGCGGGCACCCCGGGGCGAGGCACGGCTCCTGGTTTCTGGGGCGACAACGACACCACCTTTATTTACAAGTACTGTTTACCGAGACAGGTTTAAGCAAGTCACACGGGTCATTCGACTCAATCACTACAGGAGGCCGGACCTGGAGGCCAGGGCTCAGGCGGGGGCCAGGGGCGGCCAGCGCCGGGGCTCACACCCCTGGGCCAGGCGGGGACTCTCGACAAGCCCAGCGCAGACTGCCGGGAGGCAGCAGACAAGGGCCCGGCACACTCGGGGCTGCTAGAGGACCCCGCGCGGGGGGCCTGGCCGAGGCTGTCCCGGAGGACTTCCCGGAGGCGGTGCTGTGGGCTCAGGCCGCAGCGCCGCGCGGCCCTTCTGGGCCCGGCCAGCCGCGACGGGAGAACCAAGGGCCCCGGCGCTGGGCTTCGG